CTATGTTAACCAGTTTGATGGAAATGTTTCAAATGGCATATGAAAACACCACACTGTACCCCAGAATTGTATTAATGTACATAGTTACCATTCAATTAGAAAAAAAAAAAAAAGAAATGTTGGATTTTCTTTAGTAAGATTAGTTGTGGTCTTGCATCAATTTTTAAGTGTAAAAAAATAAAGTTGTCATTCGTGAATCAGGGAGAAAAAAATTACAAGTCCTGAAACTTTTTTTTTTTTTGATACGGAGCCTCAAGCTATCCCCCCGGGTAGAGTGCCATGACATCACGCTCACAGCAACCTCCAACTCCTGGGCTCAAGCGAGTCTCCTGCCTCTGCCTCACAAGTAGCTGGGACCACAGGTGCCCGCCACAACGCCTGGCCATTTTTTGGTTGCAGCCATCATTGTTGTTTGGCGGGCCAGGCTGGGGATTCGAACCCGCCACCTTAGGTGTATGTGGCTGGCGCCTTAGCCGCTTGAGCCACACCAAGTCCTGAAACTTCTAAACACACTTAATGTTCTGAACAAAAGATTAAAAATGAAATGGGTACTTGTTTTGCCTGAAAGTAGAAAACGACACGATGGAAGATTAGCAAAGACCCGATAACGAAATGACACATTTACAAAGTATTTTACTTTAAGACCAAATGGGCACATCACCACTATGTTGTCGGAAAGGAGAACTCTTTTAAGTTTGTTTGAACAGTGTTGACCAGGTACAATGGTCACACCCCGAGTGGTGCTGGTGTCTGCTGAGGAAGGGGTGGGGGGGTGCAATGCAGCGGCTGCAACACTAAGCAAATAATCTATTCCACAGATATTTAGAAGAGTAAGGAAGACCCCACCCAGGGCAGAGCCAATGCGGCAGGTGTGAGGAGAATGCAAGGCGTACAGGCAAAAGTACCAACGGTTCAATGAGGTCTAACATCGAATATTTGCGTAAAAGGTGTAATACCTCGTCTAAAAACATGGAGAAAAGAAGATTGTTGTACCTGCTAACATGCCCATTATTTATACAAAGTCCCTCAAATAGCTGAACTTTTATGAGTGTATTAACTCAGATTAGGGATTTATTACTGATCCCACATTATGCTTTAACACAGTAATGTATCAATTTCAGTGTGTTACAGTCACCTATTTTTATTTCAGTCCTGCTCTTTAACTCTCAGTAAATCTACAGCCAAAATAGGGATCATAGCATACTACTTATTTCCATTAAATAAATGTTAATTCAGTTAACAAATACTACTCCCATAAATACTATAAAATCTGTAATCAGAAACTGGCTACCTGGAGAGCATAAAACTCATGTATTCACACCAAACAGAACCAGACTTTATTCTACTTAGACGGCAAATGGACCATCAGTTCTTGCTGGGTCAGTTTCTCTTCATGGCGTATATGGAGCACCACCAAACCAAAGAATTTTAGGTAAAATGTATGTCATAAAAATCCTCATCTTGGTATTGAAAGGAAACATAATCTATTCCGCAGATATTTAAAAGGAAATTGTTCCCAATGACATTTAAGTCTGGAATATCACATATAATTAAAGAAAAACTAGGCTTCTATAACCAGTAAATTGATACTTTCATACCCAAAACATCCCATGCTGGATCCAGCCATGGAGAATGAGGTGGGCAGATGAGCAGCACGGGTGGTGTGAACTTGAGACGGCTGCTACCTGAAGTTACATACAACCTGCCCGACCTGGGGAGGAGGAGGAATTCAGTGGTGCAGCCGTAAGGCAGACACTAGTCTCAGGCTTGGGCCATGCTGTGTGGTTAAGGCAAGAGTCAAGTTGTGGCAGACTCTGGCCATTGTTTTGACTAGTCACAGTTCATCGGAAAGCTCCATATTATACTTTACACATTCCCAGGTGCGACATGAATGGCACCCAGGATGCGGCTGGTATGCAGGGGGTCTCAAAGGGACAAGCAGTGTCCAGGACTCCTCCCTTCTTCCCTCCCGTCTCAGTATGATGATTTGTTCTCGGTAAGACTTATCTAAAGGGAACACTGAAAATCTAGCATATTTTTTCATTTCGTGGAGAAAACTATTTTCCAAGGTGAACTTTATGAAGGTGAAGACTCATGAACTCAGGGAGGATTTCTAATGAATAACATGGTCTACTCTATTCCCAGATAGTCCTGAAATTACAGTAGCAAAACAAAGTTTCTCAAAAGTACGGCTGGGCATAGTGGCTCATGCCTACCATGCTAGGAGGCTGAGATAGGTGGATTGCTTGAGCTCAGGAGTTTGAGACCAGCCTGAGCCAGAATGAGACCCTGTCTCTAAAAATAGCTGGGCCTTGTGGCAGGTGTCTATAGTCCCAGCTACTCAGGAGGCTGAGGGCAGAGAATCACGTTGGCCCAAGAGTTTGAGGTTGCTATGAGCTATGATACCACAGCCCTCTACTGAAGGCAACAAAATGAGACTCTGTCTCAAAAACAACAACAACAAAGTTTCTCAAACATAGGTTGAGTATCCCTTCTTCAAAATGCTTGGGACCAGAGAAGTGTTTTGGATTTTGTCATTTTCTTTTAATTTTGGAATATTTGTACTTAAAAGTTCAGCATCCCTAAGTCAAAAATATGAAATCCCATTTCCTTTGAGTGCCATGTCAGTGCTCAAAAAGTTTTGGATTTTTAAGTATTTCAGAGTTTGGATTTTTGGATTAGGGGCACCCAACTTATAGTATCTTCTATGGAAGCCTCAAAGTTAAAATTTAACAAGGAAATATTCTGATAGTAAAAGTTAGGAATGATGAGATAGAAAACTGAATTCCAAATTTTAACAGAAGGATATCCATCTAATTACCATATACTTCAAAATGAAAATGAGCCAGATAATCCTATTATGCTGAAAAGGCAGGACTGAGATTTTCTAAGTCATCTAAACCCTGGATCCTGAGATCTGAAACCGTAGTGCAGCGCACACAGAGGGTACCTGAGACTAAGAAGCCTGAGGGGCAGTGACGGTGAGATTTCCCCGAAAACCTCTGGCAGTCTGTCCCTCTCACGTCTGAGGCTGAGGGTCACAGGCTACTCTTACAGTCTCGCAGGGTGGACTCGCTGAGACCCCCCTGCTCTGGGTAGAGTTAAGATGACAGGCGGACACGGGAACACACAGAGATAACCTCATAACCTTTGGAACTGAAGGAGCGCCAGCTGGAAAACAAGGAGCTAAGTGTTCTGTAGCACCGAGCCCTGCTCCCACTGCAACAGGATACTTAGCTACAGAAAACAGTTTCCCTTTTGGAGATCAGTATGTTCAGCAATAAACTTTAGTTTCTGTCACAGAAATTAAATTCAACATGGAATCAAAATACATTCTTCTATTTTATCATATGAAATATTTTATAAAGGAAATGACGCCAAACCAATTTCATGTGGGGAAGCCTGGAGATTGTTCTATAAAGAAAGAAAATGGCATGGGGGTGGGGGGGAAGGCCGTTCTCTAAACAATGGTTCCCCTAGGTTCATCTTTCCAAATGTGGGCCAAATCCTGAATTCCAGTTAACACACACCTCTGGGCGGAAGCCAAGTTTGGAATGCGCAGAACAAAGAATGTACTCAGACATCTCCTGGGTGTTTTCCTCCTCAAACATAATGCAAATGAGGAGCCAGATGGCAACGGGTCCACTCCGGGAGAGGATTCCTTTACGGAGATAAACAGCAAGGCTTTGGAAATCCATCTCCAGGATTAAGTGAGGAATTTTCAAAAGACAACTATTCTTTTTGTCTATTTGTTCTCATCAAATTATTTCTACATGGTATCCTAGCATGCTAAAATAGTTAAGTGACATTGTTTTGCAACGCCCTGAAAGTTAGGCTAAGACAAAGAATTCATGGTATGGTGGTTTCTAAAACTTCCAGCTCTCTGCTCCCAAATTGGACCAATGATTATTTATGCATATCTAGGAACCATTTATCTTGGCACCCTGTTCTTGCTGGATTTAGTTTCTGCCGCTCAGATGAGTCAGGGTCACGTTTTGCCTTCAATAAGATCCTTTTCTTCTGCCCAATACAGTTCCTGGAACTTCTCCCAAGCCCTAAGGTTTTCCATAATAATAACATTCTGATGTGATCCAGGGAAGCAAAAATGGTGGGGCAAGGACAGTGGGTGGACAGAAGGAAGTCCTTTTTTAGTATGTGACTGCATATTATGTAATTAAACTGTCCCCTTCATTAGCCAATTTTCACTCATGTTTTGAAAGCACTTAACCTACTCCTCCAACTTTAGGCCTAGACTCTGCTTCAAAGTGCTGCATTTCACAGTTAACACCAGGCAGAAGGGCTAGGGCATCCTTGCAAAGGCAGAGTTAACCAGTTACCTTCTACAAGGGAATTAGCTATGACTTTCAATTTAACAGTAAACTCAGGTTTCTGATTTCCCAGGCTCCCTGGATCTCTTTCTCTTTTGTTTAGTTTACTCAGGACTGAGTGTTTTAGCCCCGCTTTGTGGGATGCTCTCTTCTCACTGTCTTTTCCTATGTTCAGAGCAGTGGCAAATGTGTTTAAGCTATACTAGTTTCTTTTTCTCACAAGTCTTTATTAATAAAGTGATACAAACACAGATATTCAGCCAGAAACTTGCATTCTGTTGCTCCTGTCACAGGATTTGTCCCAAAACAATGAGACTGCCAAAGATGGTAATATAATCACTGTCACCTCAGAGTCTGCTCTAAGTTCTAATCCATATGGCCACTAAGAACGCAGTAATGATTTCTGTGGATAATCACACAGGATTAAAGTGCAAAGCACAAGTACCAGTGTGTAGAAGGAGCGGAATGTTTTCCCAGAATATATATCTTTGTTTATCCTCATGCCTTTGAAACGCTACCGCGCTTTGAAAGCCGCTAGGACATGCATCTCAGTTTTAACGCTTGCTTTCTAGCAAAATATGAGAAGGCCTACAGCCAGCGCCATGGGTCTGTGTTACGTACACGCAGAGCAGAGACGCCGAGACACAGAGCCAGCCCTGAAGGCACACTCACCGCCTCTCGAGTGGGCGCCCGTCACTGGAGATGCTCCGAGGAATGTTGGCGGCCCTTTCTGGAGGAGGGATTTTCCCGTCTCCTTTTCCAGCAGTCATCCTCGAGGTCATGGGACTCTGCAGCTGGGACGGGACTTGAGGTGAATGGGATCCCTTGTTGGCATTCCTCTGCCACTTGTTATTATTCCGGAAGGGAAACTTGAATTCATAGGAGATGCCTTCGTTCATTTTGTACTCCATCACTGGCATGCGGTAGGTTTCCGAGCAACTCCTATTGTGGGGAGGGGAGGGGAAAGCAGTGAATATTGCTTGTCCTTGTTGGTGGGACCGCAATGATTCTCAGTAACACTTACAATGGATCCAGAACTTCACCCCTATTTCAAACCATCTTTTAGTCCTCGTGCTCTACAGCTATTTTCCTTTATAAAATCAGAACTCCATAAAGTAGGACACTAACATTTTCCTTTACTCAATCCTAACTGTTGAGTCTGACAAATGGAATCTTTAAAAAACAATGGGACCCATGGTTGCCCTGGGGGGAGGAGCAGGGCACTGGGACCTGAGAAGGGAAGGCCCCCAGGACAGCATGACAGGAGGCAGACCCCTGAGAGCCCAGAGGCTTGGAGGAAACAAGCAATCATAACATCCTTCACTGCATGTTATGATTGGGATCTGTGAATAGAAGGGTGAGCAGTTTAAATGTGTTGGGCTCCTTAGAGTTGAGAAATTAAATGGAAAAAACCCTAGAACTCCAAACCAAGAGCCAAATTTAGCTTAGATGGAGGGAAAAAAAAAAAAACAGGAAAAAACCCCCACCAATTATAGAAATACTACAATTATCAAATCCCCAAGGAACAAACGCATAATCTGAAATCAGACTTTTTTCTTTCTTCCAAAGTTAGGGACCTCCCACAGCAGAGCTGTCCCCAGGCAGAAGTCCGACTGAAATTAATAACAGGTACAAATGTCTTGTCACTTTAGCCCCTTTTGGTGCCACCTTCTCAAACCTCAAACCTTGGAAAATTCTGAACCCACTTGCCATTTCTTTTCCCCAACCAACTGGGGGGAGGTTCTAAGTTATTAATTTGATTGACAGACAAATTACCGGGGAAAAGACCTATTCCCACTGAAGCATTAACTCCAACTGTGCATTTGAATTTCACCACTAAGTTAAAAGAAATTTCCTTTCTTGAAGAAATTTCAAAGATTGGGGAGCAAACAGGAAGACTTGGAAAAGAGAAGTTAACAGAGTGACTCTGAAGTCAGTAAGGCGTACTTTAGTGGAAGCGTTAGGAAAGCCCAAATCACAGCTACTAATAGAAACTGAATTTGAGCCACAAACACGTCACAAATGTAATTTTAGAAAAGCAAAAAATGAAAATGGTGAAATAAATTTAATAAGACATTTTATTTAACCCAATATGTCCACAATGTTATTGTTTTAACATGTAATCAATATTGAAAAATTATGAAGATATTTTGTATTCTTCTACATCTGGTGTACATTTTACACTTACAGCACATCTCACCTTGGACCAATTATATTATCAGTGCTCTGTAGCAATGTCTGGCTCATGGCTCTGTACTGGACAGTGCAAGTTCAAAGGGCATCCTTTGAGCCAGAGGCCTGGTCTCGTATAGCTGAGGGGAGGTGAGACGTACAGCTGGAGGGAGGAAGGGAAGGGGGGGCGGTGAGATGGGGGGCGGAGACTGGGGGCTGGGGGGAGTAAGGCATGGGGGGAGGTGAGACGTGAGCGGGAGAGTGAAACTGGGGGGAGGTAAGGTGTGGAGGGAAGGTGAGACTGTGGGGAGATGAGATATGGAGAGGAGGGGAGAGACGGGGAGGGGAGAGACTGGGAGGGGTGAGACTGGGGGGAGGGGTGATGTGGAGGAGAGGAGAGACATGGGAGAGGTAGGACGTGGGAGGAGCAGAAAGCAAGGGCTTACAGAATTGGCAGGTGGAAGACAAGGACAATGGAAGGTGCTACTCTTCCACAGTCTTGTCCACATGTCTCAGGGTTGACCTCTGACATGCATCCTCTCCCATGTCTTCATGACAGTCTCCGTTTTTGGAAAGTGTGACTTCTGTAGCACGTGCTCGGGAGCAACCAGAGTGTCTTCTGGTGTCCCTGCCTACCTAGTCACAGCCTATATCTCCAATGGGTTCTTTTGGGGGGAGATTTCCTTACCTCTCCAACTCCCCCAAAGCCTAGGTCAACCTTAATCTGAGCCTTATGCCCAAGGCTCCACTGTACCCCTTTTATGCTTTAACACTAATGGCTTTCAAACTTTTTTGAGGGCAACCTCAGTAAGAAACACATTTTACACTGGGATTCAGCACAACCACATACTCACATAATATTCATTCTTACTCTGATTGCCTCCTATTTTGATATATTCTGAATTTATGTTTCCTAAAAGAATACATTAGGTACAACCTCCTAAACTTATTTCATGACCTACTTGAGAGTTAAAATCTGTATTTTGTAAGACAGTGCTTTATGTACATTTGACATTACTTTTAGTAGTTAATGACTTATGCTATAAGCCCTTTACTTTTGATATTAGGAAATATTACCTTAGGCTCTGATGTAATTTCTAGCTTTGACTCTGATAATTATGACAAAAATATACCATTGTATGGTGTGTCTCTATTAGCAACTCAAAATTTTGATTGTTGATGGAGATACACTACAGGATAGTCTAGAGCCTTTCATTTCTGACTAGGCCATTTTATGAAGGTCTGGTACTCTGAATTTGTAAATATAATAAAAGGAATATTGATAAAAATTTATAGCAATCCGATGAACAATGTCTCTCTGCAACATCAGGACTAGGTTTGCTTCTCCTCAGCAACGGTCACTTATTACTTAGAAGCTCAATGAAAGTTGTCCTCTACTGTCCTCTACGCCCCTTCCCCTGGCTCCGAGGAACTGGCACATGGACACAACTATTTCTTCCTAGGCCGTGTTTTCCTCTTGGTACTCTCCCCCACAAATTCGCCACTGAGGTTTTATTTTGTGATATTGTACAGGTAACTTCTTGTAGGCTGCTTCCAGTCCATTTTGCATCAGGCAGACAAAATACAAGTAAATAAACTGGTGATAACAGTAATAGAATCAATACTGATGTGATATTTTCTGACAAGCTGCTTTCATCTTCGGGCCTTTGTTTTTTGCAAAATGAAAGATTTGGAATTGAGAATTGCCCAATTTTCTTCTTCAAAAACTTTCTGAAATAGTCTTTTAAGACCCTGCACTGTAGCACAGTGGTTATGGCGCCAGCCACATACACCAAGGCTGGTAGGTTCCAATCCAGCCTGGACCACTTAAACAACAATGACAACTGCAACCAAAAAATAAAATAGCTGGGCGCTGTGGCAGGCGCCTGTGGTGCCAGCTACTTGGGAGGCTGAGGCAAGAGAATCACTTAAGCCCAGGAGTTTGAGGTGAGTGTGATGCCATGGCATTCTACTGAGGGTGACATAGTGAGACGATCTCAAAAAAAAAAAGAAAAGAAAAAAAGTCTTTTAAATCCATGGTCCCATAGCTGCAGAAGAGCAAATGAAGCTTCATCTGTATTTACAGCCTCATCACCTGCATCACTGCCTGAGCTCTGCCTCTTATCTGATCAGCAGCAGCATTAGATCCTCATAGGAGCACAAACCCGACTGTACTGCACATTTAAAGGCTCTAGGTTGTGTGTTCCTTATGAGAATCTAATGCGTGATACCTGTGGTGGAGCTAAGGCTAGTGCTGGGGAGTGGCTGCAAACACAGATTATCATTAGCAGAGAGGTCTGGCTGCTACTGACCATTCCCACTCATCCCATGCCCCATTCATGGGAAAACTGTCTTCCATGAAATGGGTCTTTAGTGCCACAAAGGCTGGGGACTGCTGTTTTAAACTGCATTTAACATTTACTACTAAAACTGGTTAAAACAGTCCTGTGGCCAAAGACTTTGTCTTCCTTATAACTTGTATTTCCTTCCCACCATTCTTGATACGTGACCAGAAACATTCTGTGTAGCCCACATCAGCAGAATGTAGTATGATAAAGCCCAGAGAGGGAGAAAAGATTCCTTCTTGGAGTAGGAACAAGCAAAGAAGTTTCCACTGAAGGGAACCTCCGCCACCTGCTGCTTCTGATGGCCTTTCAAGGCAAGAGTAACCACCGCTGGCTTCCTGGTCTCTTACTTTCCTCTGCCACACAGAAGAATGGTATGTAGAATCAGGACATGGACAGTAGACTGCCCGACACGGAGGAAAGCTGGCTTTCAACGCCATACAAACTTTCACAAACGGACTTTTATCATCTTTTTCTAAGTAAAACTTGGTGTTGGAGAATGATAACTCTACCAACACTAACAACTCACGATGAGCCAGAACTAGTCCAGCCACATTCCAGCATCTCTATGAAGCTGATGCTATCATTATCCCCACTGCATAGATGAGAAATGGAGGCCTGGAGAGGTTTCCTGTTCAAGTTTACAAAGCCAGGAAGAGGGGGGATGTGGAAACCCACAGAATTAAACTACCCAGAGGTTAGGTTAGTTTCATTTTAGTCACTAACTCAGCCACTTCAAGTCCCCAAACATCCTTTACCCTACAGAAATCATCACATCTCACACAAGTCATAGCCCATCACAAAAAAAGAAAAAAAAATCAACAACTTTTATAAAACTCAATTAAAGAGAGGTGGTCTGGTCAGCAGGATTGCAATGTCAGCACAAAAGGTGACAAATACTGATCTGCTGAAGTTATAAATTAACTGAAAAGCGACTCCATCTCCTTACTCTGTTTTTTAGCCTTTTTATTCTCTCTCTTTTAATTTCTCCTTTTACCATATCATTACTCTCTCCTCTTTTCCTGAAGACACTATGAAATACAAAAAATGGAGGACCAATATATTGAACAGAGTATCACAACACTGAATTCATAAGGCAGAAGAGTTTTATGTTTGATGATGCCTCCATCTCTGTAAGCCATGTGACTCTGGCTTAGAAAAAGCAGGTAACATCTTTGAACCAAAGTCCTTCACATGAAAAATGAGAGATCTGAACTAGAGGCTTCTAATAGCCCCTCCAGCTCTAAAGCAGTAGGCTTTTGCACTTTAAAATACTGGTCTTTTAAAAAGTAAACAAACAAACAAACTTTTGTTACTATTTCTTGTCTAAAAGGTTATTTGGTCTTTTTATGTAACTTGTTTGTTATTAGCTCCTCTTTTGAATGGCCCTTAACTGCTTTCCCCAAAGACTGTAGGCCAGTGGTCCTCATCAGAATGAAGGTTAGCCACTCGTATGCAATTCCATCCAGAACATCACAATTTAGCCAGTCATCCAGGTGTTTTCATCTTGCCAAGAGAATGACATTGAAGATTCAGAGGGCACAGACACTAATACTACGTATACTGACACTGTTCTACTCCAGAGTGGCGACAGGCAGGATGTGGGGTGATGGGCTGGGTACCTCCTGCAGAAGGCACTGCTTACTCCTGGGAGGTCTTCCAGTGCTGTCCACCAGGGCTGTCTACCTTGCGCTGTCATGCTAGCTGGTCCTGTTCACTCTTTGGGCAGTGACCAGACCTCATCTTCTTATCTCATTTTAATAAAAATGAAGCTGCCACGAGGATAAAAAAGAAAATGCTCAACACATAGGAGGGGCTCAGAAAGTTCATATACTCTCTCTGTCCCTTCTTTCTTTGGAACAAAACAAAACAAAACTGTAGTCTGGGAGCAATCTATAGAGGGGTCCAAGAACAAGTTAAGGAGCCCTATTTTATATTTGTTATTTAAGCACTACTTTTTTGCTGTTAAACTGGCTTTATATTTTTTTTAAATGCTGTCTTTTTCTTTCTTTTTTTTTTTTTTGAGACAGAGCCTCAAGCTGTCCCCCTGGGTAGAGTGCCGGGGCATTATAGCTCACAGCAACCTCCAACTCCTGGGCTCAAGCGAGTCTCCTGCCTCTGCCTCCCAAGTAGCTGGGACCACAGGCGCCCGCCACAACGCCCGGCTATTTTTTGGTTGCAGCCATCATTGTTGTTTGGCGGGTCCAGGCTGGGGATTTGAACCCGCCACCTTAGGTGTACGTGGCTGGCGCCTTAGCCCGTTGAGCTATAGGCGCTGAGCCAATGCTGTCTTTTTCAAACGTATGATTGTTCCATGTGAACATACAAACCTGTGGGTGTATTATATACACTCCCTGTGCCCCTGGGTACTGGTGGCAGCCTCAGGTCCTGGAGACCCTAAGAACCCCACACAGTTAAGGAGCAGGAGACAACGTGCCTCCAAAGGCCTGTGCTGCCTCCTGGTAGAGCTTTGGTGGTAAAATCACAGCTGACAAAGAAGAAGAGAATGACTAGTCAGAGAACAGAGTAATTAGTTGCTAGGAAAACAGCAGTAGGAGTGTGAAGTGCGGAGGAGAAGGAAAAAATGACAGGAGAGCATTATCCTATTTTGTTGAAAATTATAACAAGGTGCTAATGCTTCCACTGTTCCCTCTGAAGCATCTCTGAAAGCAGGAGCAGAGCTGGCTTACAGCCCTCCCAAGGCATTTCTGCCAGCATCTCCCACCTGCCCTGCCCAGAAGGTCCCACAGTGGCTTTACAGATGGAAACTGCAGTTAAAGGGCAGAGTGCGGCTCCAGGCCTGTGGGCATGTGTTGGGCACTGGCCCTTTCCCCAGACTCCTGTCCCAGCAAGGGGATGGCCTGTGTGCTTCACAGCTAGGCTCCATGCACAGACACGGAGCGTGCACTCAGGGTGTGCTGGAGCCCATGGTCCATCCCAACTCTGCCCACAGTGATGCCACACTGGGAGCCTGAAATTAGCCACAGTGGGAGAATCTACACCGTAGGAATGAGCAAATAACTACAGATCAAGACTTTTTCCCCAACAGAAAGCCAATTTACCAGCACATCACTGCCTATTCTGGAATATAAGGAAAGGATTTGTGCACCAAGCATACCAAGTGACAGTTAAGAGCCTGGACTCTTGAAGTTAGACCCCAACTGGCTAGAGGAGCTTAGGAAGTTTATCAACCTTTCTGAGTCTTAGTTTTCTTCAAAATAGAAATAATAATACTATCACCTCACAGGCTTGATGTAAGGATTAAATATACTAATCCATATAAAAGTGCTTTTCTAGGACTTGGCACATTAAAGTAAAATACTCAGGAAGATGTTAGTTATTTTCAGCAGAAGATACGCCAGCCTACTGCACCTCCTCCACCATGGAGCAACCTGCCAGCGCCTGGCCTCTAGCCCACCTTTCTACCCCATTATTCACAAGGTCGCACTCACACAATGCTATTTACTTCTCCTCTACCCCCTAGAAACCTGGGAGCTAGAAAAACCAGACAGCTCTCTCAGCAGACAAAACGGCATCATAAGACCGCAGGGCTAGACTAGCCTCTACTATTCCTTATCGTAGGTAGTTAAGGTTGCCACTGTACAAGGGCGAAAGGCACTGGATTGCCTGTTAGAAGCAAGAAAGGAGACAACTTTGAAAGAGACACCAAGAAACAACAGAGAAAGAGGCCGGAGAGCGAGGTGGCATCTGGAGAGCACTATGCACGTCCTCTGTCTTCCTCATGTTGCTTTTTAAACCACAGTTCCTCAGGATGCTTCACATTAATGATGACACACTTGAGGGAACCAGAAAAGGCTCAGCACACCTGGTTAACCAACGCAGAGCAGTTTCTGAATATTTCCCTCCACTCCAAAGTGGCTAAAAGGTTCTGAATAGATATCTTCATTTTTCAGGGAGATCCAGGTATCCAAAAGAGGGCATTGCTTAAAACTTATCAGCCAAATGGATTTCATTAGACAGTATTTCGATGTATGTACAAAATCCCCAGGACAATAAGGATGGTAAGCGCAATGAGGAAATACTATCTCTAGCAAAGTCTGATTGTAACACTTGGTTTGAAGCACTGAAGTACATGGTCATTGCCACTTAATCTCTATTGAAAAAAATAAATATAGCTATTTATGTATTTATTTATTTTAAGTCACTCAAGTTGGAGTCCACTGATGTGATCAAAGCTCACTGCAGGCTCCAACTGTTGGGCTCATGTGGTCCTTCTGCCTCAGGCTCCCAAGTAGCTGAGACTACAGGGGTCCACCACCATGACCAGCTATTTTAAAAGTTTTTTATAGAGAGGGGTCTTGCTATATTGCCCAGGCTGGCCTCAAACTCCTGGCCTTAAACAGTCTTCCCATTTGGGTCTCCCAGAGTGCTAGGGTAACAGGCATAAGCCGCTGTGCCTGCCACTGCTTACTTTTTAAAGGACACAAATAACCCATCATAACCAGTTACATTTCACCATCTGTAATTCATAAATCTATGACAGCTCAGGTGCAGGAACAGTCATTTTGGGGGGGAAAACTGGATAAACAACATTCCCTTGGTTTTAAAAGGCCTAAGACCTGCCAAAGCTTAAGAGAAATTCTTAGAAAAAAATCAGTTTAAAACATTCAATTAAAAAAAAAAAAACTAGCAAAGATAACATGTGCACACTGAAAGGACAAAAACTAGTTGATTAAATTTGTTCCATCAAGGGGCTTCCCAGAGACAGAGAAGTTAAATCTTCAGTAGTGCTGCTGGCTTGGCAGGAGCTGGGAAGGTCAGGGAGCTCCAGAGTTTTCTCTTTGGAAAACTAGAACCGAAATGCCAAAGCTTCAGGAGCAGGACCAGCTCACTGAGTATACATGGGTAGAAAGGAGAGTAAGGATCCCACGGCAGGTAACAGGAGAAAATCTGACCGTCTGAGCTGCTGAGCGTCTTTGAACGTGCAGTGTTCAATCTTTGTCGGCTACTGCTTAAGATGCCTCAGACCGACATTACCAGGCTTCTCTATCTGGGACAGCAACTTTGTAAATCCTGAGACTAAAACCTGGGAATGGTCCCAGTCAGCCATTCTCTCTGGCTGCTGTTTGCTGCATGCCGAGGGGGAGCAGCGTCCTTAATCAGCTGAACTTTCAGTGCTGTGTACACCCTGCTGCTCCTCACAACACCCTATGTCCTACCAGCTAGGAGTTGTTCCTTGCCGCACACAATCCCTGCCCTCAGGGTCAGGCCCATCTACTGCAGCTCAGACCTACCTCCGTGGGGTGCAGTCATCATGAGGCGGAATGATGACCACCTTCACTGTGACGGAGGTTCTCAGGAGATCGATCATCTGCTCGTGGCTCAGGGTGGCCACCGCCACCTTGCAGATTTCCACCAGGCGGCTGCCCTGCCTCAGCCCTGCCTGCCAGGCATAGCCGTAGGGCTCCACATCTGCCACGATGCCCTCGTAGTTGACGTGGAAGCCAAGCTGTCCTAACCCATTTCTTCGCAGAGTCATCTCCACAGATTCACAGCCTTTCGAAACAAACTAGACAAGGAAATAGAGGATACCGTGGTTTAATGCAATAGGGTATTAGCGGGTGGACAGGGAACTGGAGAACACTGCAAGCAGGGTTACTGCTGAACATCCCGCTGCCAGCTCAGGAGCAGTCTGGTTATTTCCCCTTCACTGGTCTCTATTCATTAGGCTAAAAGGAACATATTTGTTGCATCCAAAAAGCTCAAAGCCTTCCCTGAAGTTACAAGGAAAGCTCTAACAGTGACCTGCAGGGAGTTGGCAGCGGAGAGAAACCACACTCTGCTGCTCATTTTGTCTTTATAAAACGCAAGGTGGCAGATCCTCAAGTCAGTCAAACAACTCTTTTCAACCCACCACCAGCTAGGCCGGGCTGCAACACTGGGTCCCACGAGATGGATCTGCCCCCATTTGTTCTGCTACCTTCCAAAACGTCATGGAAAACATAACCCAGAGATAAACTCTGCTTGCCTCACGTATCAAGGGAGCTTACACAGGAGCCACAATAATGGAACAGTACACGCTTTGGTAACTTGGCTCGAGTCTGTACCGAAAGTCTTAGGAAAGAGAAATTTCATGTAGGTAGGCAGAAGGAAAAGACTCACCTGCAACCTCTTGACAATCTCCTTGATGTCCTCATTGCTAATGAAACTCTCCACCGAAATACATTCTCCTCGTTCGTAGAAGATTTTGAGGCCGTTGTCGGCTGAAGTCCAGCCTATCACATCTCTGCAGGAACAGTTAAAAACCACGCTCTTTGTCTCCAGTTCGATGAGCACGATGAACTCGTTGGAGATCCCTAAGAGGCAGTCCATCTCCATGGCGGTGTTGTAGTCTTTCGCCCGGACTGCCCACACGATGGCTCCCATGCTGCTGAGCTCAGCTCCCGGATACGGCTTAGACTTTTCTTTCTTCTTGGAGGCCAGAGAGATGAATGGAAACTTGCCAGAGGGGTCGATAGGGGTGTTGGTGACATTCTTTTCTGCCAGATCTTTTAGGTATTCCTGGCGGGTCCGGGTTGCCATGGCCCGGAACTTTTCTGATTTATGAGCAGCATTTTCTGCATTAATCACTTTGGCCAAAAGGAAGTCCCTGAACACATTCGACTTAGGGAAGGTGACCCCTTTAGGGATGGGAGGCCCAAAAGAAGGCACATCTCTGGACCTGGTGACGGCCACACTGGAGAAAAAACAAAGACAAGAGAAGAGGCAGCATGTCCGTGTGTGTCAGATTCACAGAGCGGGATTAAGGGACATTCGCTCACAGATGAGGACACCTCAGGAGCAAAATATCTTCCCCACAAGACACCATGTAAGTTCTACTTCACATGAGCACACTTTTTCATTTAACCACACTGAGCATTCATAGAACATAAATTTTTTCTCCAAGCCAAAAACTCTCATAAAAAAACCAGTGTTAACTTTCTTTTCTTTAACATATAGGAAACTAAACATAATTCCATGAGGAAATAGATTTACTGAGGTATTCTACATACTACCTTTTAAAAAAAAAATTAAATCACAAACACACAGATCATGTATACCTTAATTCATTCATGGGGTACAATGTGCTGATCCCACATAGAATCAGGAGTGTTTACATCACACTGGTTAATATACACCTTGTCTCATTTACTTCGCTATTGTGTTAAAACGTTTATACTCTATACTTAATAGATCCAACATGTACCCTTGCATTATGCACCATAGGTGTGATCCCACCATTCACCCTCCCTCAATCTGACCTGACCCCTTCCCTTCTGTCCCCTCCCTCCATCCTGGGCCATAGTTGTGATCTATTCTTCATATGAAAGTGTGGGTGATTATAAACTGGCTTCATAATAGTACTGAGTACACTGGATATTTTTTCTTTCATTCTTGAGATACTTTACTAAGTAGGATATGTTCCAGCTCCATCCATGCAAACGTAAAAGAGGTAAAGTCTCCATCTTTTTATAAGGCTGCATAATATTCCATCGTATACATATACCACAATTTATTAATCCATTTGGATTAAGTGGGTCAATGGGCACTTGGGCTTCTTCTATGACTTGGCTATTATGAATTGAGCTGCAATGAACAATCCTTTTTCTTTTTTCTTAGACAGAGTCTCACTCGGTCACTCAGAGGTTAAGTGTTATGGTGTCATCATAGCTCATAGCAACTTTAAACTCCTGGCTCAAGTGATCCTCTTGTCTCAGCCTCCTAAGTAGCTGGAACTATAGGTGCCTGCTGCCTGGCTATTTTTTTTAGAGACAGAGTCTCGCTCTTGCTCAGAGCTGGTCTTGAACTCATGACCTCAGGTGATCCACCTGCCTTGGCCTCCTAGAGTGCTAGGACTACAGGTGTGAGCCACTGAGCCTTGCCTACATGAGACATATCTATAATGTGTAGACAACGACTACATTGTCTACACATTGTTTCCAAGGGAAGTTACTACAATTACGTGACCTTTCATAATAAGCACAGATTCTGGGAGGGCTCAAGTGTGTTCTTCATTCTAAATATGATGCCTGTTAGATAGCTTACAATAAAAACATCAGAAGACACAGGACATAAAAGTATATTAAATATGAAAATTAAATATTTGTTGGCCAAAGTGTGGGGCATTATGCAACATGATTACAGCAGCAGTTTAAAGTGAAAATTGGAATTTGAGTAACAGAATGCGTATGACCTTTACATAATAGCAAAAAAAAAAAAAAGGTCATATTTTAAAACTGAGCTATCCTTTGGTGGAAATTTTCTACTTTTTGTTTTTTGACTCTGAGAACCTATTTGAGAGAGAATAGGTTCTCCTCCCATCTCTTAAGCAAGATATAAGAAAGCTTGGTGCAGTGATTTCTTCTGCATAGAACAGGCATAAGAAGAGGACTACATGCATGTCTGGGATAATAACATTATTTTAACCTCAAAAGAACTTATTTTTAAGTTCTCCTAAAGCTACAACAGAAGTTAAATGGAAATGGTGAGCTGTGTGTTTTGTGTCAGGTCCAAGATTTCAACAGAGTTTGACGTGGCTGGAAATGCTGATTTTAACACACCAAACATCTCTCCTTCCAAATTATTTACAAGTGAGTAAATCATGCAAGTGCTCTAAGCATGAGAGGAGCAATGTAAACATCTGGTTCTTCTGAACTCCCAGAAAAGACTCATCAGAGAGTATGCCTCCTTCAAACAAAACTGAAGAGCTCTGTTTCATTTTTTATTTTAAGCAGGCTTTGCTTTAAGATATTCAGCGTTGCTTTTCAAAACATAATTATTTCTTGTGAAAATAGGATAAATAAATAAAAAACAGCAAGCTTGGGATACACATTACATTTCTGGTGAAACAGAAAACCTACACGGTTGTAAGATGTCGTGTGTGGCCTGCTGGTTTTCGCAAGCTTACTTTAAGAAAAGACTACCTAGTTCGCTTCATGACAAAGAAAGGTGGCAAAGCCACGTCCCATTTTCTAACTGGAGAAGAAAGAGAATTCACAGAAACTTCCATAAGCATTATGGCTTAATTATACCACTATGTATTAGAAAGGCAGTTTTTCTTGTCTATTGTGAACTGTCTGGCTTGAATGCTGACAGCTGTATAATTTTAATTTGATCATGTTATTTTTTTCTTTTAAAATCAAGCAAAAGATGCTGAAATCCAGATTTACTAGATTTTCCAAGAGGAATCCTATAAGGACCCCCAAAATATGTAATATCTTTCACATTAAAATTGGCAATTAATTTTCTTGCTAATTTCACTCAAATCATTATTTTTTTCTCAGAAAACAGCTGTGGTTTTATTTTAAATAAGGAGAAGAAAATGACTGGGGGGGGGGTAACAGGGCTATGAGCACCCTCCTGCCACATGCCTGTTAAACTCAGGGGTTTTGTATAGATCTAATCATTAATTGATATAATTTCAGACAAACATATACTGAAAACCTACCAATAATTAGAAGCATCTAGAATAAACTGTGAAGAAAAGAACTGGATCCTTAACATATAATTATCAATGATTCACTGTGGTAGGGAGGTAAATGATACAGACATTAAAATCAGCTTTTGCATCATCAGAAATAGAATCTTCACAGAAGACGACGAGGAAGATGATACCCTCGAAGGCTTTTTTCAAAGAAAGGATTTTGTTTTGGAGGAATTTAACTTTCAAGGTTTCTACAAGGGTAAAAGCTCATTAATTTAAATGCCACCAATTCTGAACTCTTGATAATAAGGCTTGACTTAAACTACATAAGATATTTTGCCTCCTTAAAAAAACAAGCTTTCCTGAAATCTTAGTTTGCTATATATACAGATGGTGCCAAATAAGGTATCCACATTTTCAGAAAGAAAAACTATATTAAAATGATAATAGGCTCAGTGCCTGTAGCTCAAGCAGCTAAGGTGCCAGCCACATACACCAGACTGGTGAGTTCAAATCTAGTCCAGGCCCTCCAAACAACAATGACAACTGCAACCAAAAAAGAGCTGGGCATTGTGGTGGGCGCCTGTAGTCCCAGCTACTTGAGAGGCTGAGGTAAGAGAATCATTTAAACCAACAAGTTGGAGGTTGCTGTGAGCTGTGAGGTGTGATGACACGGCACTCTACCCAGGGCCACAGCTTGAGGATCCATCTTAAAAAAAAAAGGATAATAATATATACTGATAATAAAAGATGGATACAAGTCACATTTGAGCACTTCTTGTGATTAATTAATGCAGAAGCTGAATGCGACTTGAGTGTTAAACAAACTTAATACAGTTTTTCCTTTCTTGAAATGTGTATACATTATTTTTGGTACCTTCTGCAGATACATTAATATCTCCATATTAATATTATCTACATAGTAATTATGAACAGTTGTTATTTTTAGAAGAAGATTCTAAAGGGCTCTCCCTTGGCTACATTGGTATTAGCCTACTTTGTAACACCCTATCTTTTTAGACATAATACATTCTTTAAAATCTTAGCTATGTTTCATTAACCCAGCATTGCTGAGGAGCAGAATCCTCTGGTCAGGATGGCTATCTAGATGACAGCGGCAGAAACAGCTATGAAAGAGTTAGCATAGGGAGGGAGCTTGCAGAGGTTGGTGCCCCTCAAACTCTTCCAGTAAAATCTTGAGTTTCACCTTCAATCTCACCTTGATTTTACACTTTGCTGAAAAATATTTGTGTTCATTTTAATGTAAAAATATGTTCTCTTTCCAAAACCTTGAAGCACACAGAAGGGAAAGAAGGTGCCCTATTATTTATGCTATGGTTTGACATATCCCTAACCTCCATTTGAAAAGAGGGTGCAGGCTCGGCGCCTATAGCTCAACCGGCTAAGGCGCCAGCCACGTACACCTAAGGTGGCGGGTTCGAATCCCCAGCCCGGACCCGCCAAAACAACAATGACGGCTGCAACCAAAAAATAGCCAGGCGTTGTGGCTGGCAGGCGCCTGTGGTCCCAGCTACTTGGGAGGCGGAGGCAAAAGACTCGCTTGAGCCCAGGAGTTGGAGGTTGCTGTGAGCTGTAATGCCACGGCACTCTGCCCAGGGGGACAGCTTGAGGCTCTGTCTCAAAAAAAAAAAAAAAAAAAGAAAAGAAAAGAGGGTGCAAATTCCTCACTTCTCCAGGATACAGATACAGGGAAATATAAAATGATTTGCCCAGAGTTGTTAAAGAGGGCCAGGCCTGGAATTTCAGCTTTTGGACAGCAGACAGAGTGTTCACAGGTAAGGCCACACTTATTCCCTCTAAGGAAACGTTCTGAAACGTTCCACTGCTGAGGTGCTTGCTGAAAGGGACCATCCACCCCACCACGAGGCGGCTGTTTCTAGTTGATTTGGGATGTGTACCATTTGTTGGCATCAAAGACCTCGGACAAAATAACAAGTGTTGGTATTCAAAGCCGATTTTAAGTTGATACATGGGAATGCTCCAGGGACGTATGAATATAAATCTCAATGGAAAAAAGGAATTTCAAGATTAAGACACTTAAACTTTGGAAACACAATGGGAAATAGCAATAAACAACAATGCTCAGTCACAAAGTTAAAAGGAAGGTAACAGAAAACAACAAAATGGCAGAAGGAATTTCCCCTTCTTGAAGCCTGGATCAGAATGTTGGCTTGAGAAGCTTTCCAAGAAAACAGACCTGGGCAAAGGACTGGAAAGATCAGTGGTGGAACAAACATGCTTGTCATTCAATT